TGCACATGTGATGCACTCAAGAAACTTCACCACTTGGTACAGCCTTCACAGGTAATCTGCACTCAAATGGAAGGATCATGTTCTATGTACTTCCCTCTGTTTTATTGTATTGTACTTTATATTACTGTAGAACATTTGAGGATACCATATCACAGTACTTCAGTTCCATCCAAAGTACCAAACAGAAGTGGGAGGGACATTCCAGCTTCCAGTTTGTTCCTGTAAAATTTAACACCACATTTATCAACTGTAAAGAGAAAAGTATTTTCTAAAAACATATTTTTTAGGAGAAGCATCAAATCTTCTCAATTCAATCAAGTCCGGGCTCAACTCCGAGTCAAGTCCCAAATCATTGACCTTCAAGTCCAAGCTGAGTCCCAAGTCTATTTAGTCTATTTATGATCAGGCCACCATCCTCATCTGCTGTAAACTCAAAACAAGACACAATTTTGCACATGCAAAAGCCTTCGAACACCAGCCACAGGCAATACAGACAATGTTCCACCCAATCACCAAACACCAACACAAAATTTCAAAAAACAAGCCAAGGTGGCTGCAGGTGGGGTGGGCATAGACAAGCCTCACCAATCAGGTACGAGGGCTCTCACAGAAGGAATCAGTCAAGCCAGCAAAAGAAATTAAAACACACGAAACAAGTCAGAACTGGAGGCCTGGGGCCGTAACATCAAGTCAAGTCTCAAGTCCTAGAAATAGTAACTGAAGTCTGACTCGAGGCCAAGTCACAACTTGCAAGTCTCAACTTCTGATCCTTACTTACTCACAGTGGAAAGAGTAACCACAACGTTTATGCAGTAAAAGTACTATTAGACTGTTTATTGTAGATGTGTATTCCATGTTGAGAAATATTTGGAGTAAAACCTTTGGTTGGTCTTTTTGCTGTAGGTCACTACTTACTTCTACTTGATAATGTCATGTTTTAAAAATCATATCTATTGCTATCTGAAAGGACTTTGAACAAACAACAAAACACACTTGAGCCTTTTACATTTCTCAGGTTTTATTTGCTATTTGAGTAACCAAAAGGAGTCTGGTCTCTGTAAACAGTTAGAAGTTCAGTTCATTTTCAATAGTAAAGACTTAACTCTGTATATAACACATTTCCATCAACACACCAACAAAGTCTGGCACATGGATCATGCACCACCAATAGGATGCTGACACGCCCTCCGCTGACCCAGCTCTCCTTACTTCTCACCTTCCCCTTTCTTGCGACCCCATCTCTCCCCCCTCTGCCCTCCCTCCATCTCTGACCAACTCTACCTCACTCTCCACTCGCTCTCTCTCCATCCCTGTCTCATCCTCTTTCCGCCTTCTCTCGGTCTCTCTCTTTCTCATACCCACCCACTCTCTCTCCATCCACTCCCTCTTTCACCCATCCTCTATCTGTCCCCCACCCCCCAGCCCCTCGTGGTATCCCTCTCTCTAACCCTCTTCATCGCTGTCTGTCTTTCTCCCTCACTCCATTTCCTGTCTCTGTACCTACCTCTCTTTCACACACACACACACACGCACGCACGCGCACACACACACACACACACACACACACACACACATACACACACATACACACATGCACACACATAAAGACAACACATACTATACATTGACACACTCACTGGCAATGTGATTGGTCCATATGTTCAAATGCTTTTAAATAAATCACATGATATATTCAGGACAGATGACTGGACGTCTGGAGCAGGCAAAGTTCTAACTTCTACAAACTTAAAATCACTGGAATTTAATTGCATTTAAATAGATTGGCATAGATTTTGGCCAGTAGAAAACAAAAACAAATGTAGGTGTAATTGCTACATTAGAACATTTGAATAATTAACTGGCCAGAGTCAAAAGGATAAGGGCACACAGGAACATGAAACCATGTAGAAGTCAATTTACAAAACAAAGAAAAAATATGGGATATGTTTACCAAAAGCACTTTGTGACCTCATATATTTATTTAAACCAGAGAAGACTCTGGGATTTCACAAAATACTATACTTTTCATAGTAAAACTGCAATATCATACACAAACCTATGTTCACATGTTGTATACTGGCCAGAGTGCGGTACATTTACACTTGAAACTGTGCTTCAGCACAACAGGTAACAGTCCTAAAAATCTCTGTTCTGTTGATGCTAATCCTGGCCTTGACCATATGATACGTGCACAAGCAGAGGTGGGTAGAACTCAGTTACTTGAGTAACATTTTAAAGAAATTGTACTTTCAGAGTACTTTCTACTAGCAGCATACTTTTACTCCTGCTTGAGAAATATTTTTATTGAAGTAACAGTACACCTACTTGAGTGAAAGTTGTGGCTCCTCACTGTGAGTAAGTCTACAAGTGACAATTTGTTGACAATATTAAAAAAAGATTTATTATTTATTGATTTAAAACAAGGGCAGTGCACAGAGAAGATTCATCTCAGAGAGAAGAGATGCTCTGTTTCAGTTTTAGCTACAAGTTACTTTTTATCTCCAAAATATTAATACATTTCATATAAATTTAGTCTGTCTTGTTTTTGTGTCTGTCCTATGAAAATACCACTTACTTACAAATACTCTTAATTGAGTAATATTATTTTAAAGTAATGTTACTCTTAATTAAATAACATTTTTGACTACTCTACCCACCTCTGTGTACAAGTAACTCTAGATTAGTTTGACAAAAACTCTGTGCCGTGTTTGTTTCACATATTCAAGTTGCCCTGAGGCACTCGATAAAATGAAACAAAAAATGATTGAAACAAAAGATTTTAACAAATAAATCAAGACTAGAACTCCATAAAAATGTGTTTTCAAAGATAAGTTAGTAGCTACTTGGTCTGGATGTCTGCATGTAGTGTTTTAGTCATGGGAACACTGAACTACAGTTGCACAAAGTATCAAATTAAAACTGCTATTTGAAATCAAATTGCTACAACCCAATATATCTCCTGTCTTCTAGTGGAAAAACTGATACTCAATACTGATTCTGATGATACAATGATACAGTTTTTTTTTAAATAATTAAACACTCCTTATTCAGAGAGTATAATGTGATTTTCAACATTCTTTTCTGTTTCCATGTGTCTTATCTGTGTGTAATGGTCAGAGGTGCAGTAGGTTCATGTTGGTCCATGTGTGTGCACTAGTCCATGTGCTCTGACACTTGTTCTGATACAACTCAACATCATTCTAAAGCTTCAAGAAAGGTTCATTTCTGTCCTGTCAATGGGACTTTTTAGTATTGATACCCACTCAAATGAGTATCTAATTTAGATTCTAGTTAGTACTGATAATGTTTCACAACCCTAGTTTAGAACTATACAAATATGCTCTGAAATGTGTGGGATTATAGTAATTGGATTATTGTAATTAGCATCAATGGTCGGTTCAATAGCAAAATATCAAAGGCAGAGGTGTCCACACTTTTTGAGGTCAAATCAGTGACTTTCAAATAAATGCATGTTACATAGGTTTGAGAGAAAGTCACAACACCTTTCAAAAGTCTTGAATCCCAAATTTGAGCTCTGTGTCATGATGCAATAAGATGTCACTGAGGTTACGGTGAGAGAAATGACTTCATTCACAGTTTTGCTTATGATCATTTGGGTTAATTCAGCAGCACACCCCTGATCTAAGGTATCCATTCTCATGCAAAAATATGACCCTTGTTTTTTTTTTGTTTTTTTAAATCAAATTTTATACATCCAATACGTTATTAATAATATTTTTTTTTATCTGCACATATTTCAGTTTTAGATCAGTTCAGGCAGGGGTGCAGTATCGGTACAGGATCGATATGCTGATTCTTCCGTAATATTATTTGATCGGAACTAGTATAGTAGTTCATTATTTCCAGTTTAAAACTGAACTGAATTCTGACTTGAATTCATAAATCTATTCAGAAAAAAATCCAAATTTGATTTTTGCCATAAAATTGTACAGCTCTGGTGATGTGTCTCTAATGATGAGCAATTCTGAACAGCCTACTGTCTTCGCTGGACCTTTCTTGCATTTATTTAAGTCATTACAAATATAAAGGGAGGTTTAACACAAAAATAATACTGGTTTTACACAGCCTCAATAATACACACACTAAAAACACTGGCCATAGTTTTGACTTGTCCTTAACAACTTCATTTCCTGACATGTATTTCTTTCATTTGAGTCCTTCCTTCTTGTATAGTGTAAACAATAAACTTCACAATATGTAGTGCACAGTGCTGCTTCGTCACTGTGAGTCCAGTTCGTCTGAGCATGTCACCATAGTCACTTTTCTTACAATTACAGAAACAACATCAACACGTGACGCCACTGAGAAAGTTTGCTAAATCCAAAGTTGGCGGGAGGTCGGTGGAGAGAGGGGGTCTAGACCATGTACCATACATACATGACGTGACAGTTTCTACTTAAGGCCAAAAAACAGGGAGGCAGAAAGAGTTGCACAGTGAATTCTTGAAAAAAAAACAAAAAACAAAAAAACAAACCAAAGGCATTTACCCAGGAGTCCAGGCTCATCAGCAGGCAGGCCACAGGCAGGGAGGGGGGACGGTGGAGAGGAAGGAAGGGGGGACGGGGGGACAGGGGGAGAGGGGGACAGGGGGAGAGGGGGAGGCCTGTTTTGGGGTAAGTTTGGCAGTATACGTCCAGTAGGAGGCCCCTCTGCTCCCTATCATTGGTTGTACACTGTAGTAGGATACTTCCTGTAGTTCAGAACTGTAGCCATTAGCAGTGGGACCAGACACAGTTCCCACAAGAGCACACACAAGATTGTCTGAGACGGATTTTCACACAATGTATAACAATACTGGGTTACATTTGAGAACAACTACACTTCAGTAGCCTTAATAAAACCCTCTACCTGTTTTTTTCCTCTATTGTATTTGACCGAAATGTGCCTTGCCCCAGAAAATATAGATTGCACAAAGAGAAAAAAGCTGTCAAAAGTGCTTATAAATGTTATGTTGTTTATAATGTTTACTAAAGCTAATTAAGGAGCAGTTATAAAGTGGTATCTCCTGTTGTGTAGTTCAGGTCATAATTTTGGCATCATGATATTTGATTTGAATATTTTCGCCGTTATTGTAATACTGCTTTTTGGAAATCTATCTCAAGTCAATGTTCCACTTTTATCTGGTGAATATCTGCTTTTGTGGGAATATTTGGTGAGATGTTGTGGCATAAGATCTGGTCCCAATCCTAAAAGAATAATGTGTTCTTGTAGCTCTACATCCACACTGTTTCAAAGACACAAACAGCACAATGGGGACTTTGTCTGAACTCGTCTTTTTTCAATTCAAATGTATACTTCAAATCAGTGATATTTTCAGACTTGGTGTACAATAGTAAAACAATGGTGTTATTTGGGTCTGAAAATCCCGTCTGGAGCAGTCTCTCCTGATAGATTAGAGTCTTAGTCCTGGTTTAGACATGGGCTGGGCAATATGGTAATCACATGATCACTGCTATTTTGGTAAAATCATCATTTTGTGATGCTTCACATTTTTGTTTAATGCAGCTCTACGGTCAAACAAACACTTTCTACTATCCACTGTTCCTACTGGTCAACTTCTGTGAAGCTCGGGCTTTCAGAAATAGTAGATAGCTTTAGTTGCCTCTTAAATATTGTTTATAAGATACTAAGAAAACATGAATTGTGAAAACATTTAAATGGTGATCTGGTTCTAAGAAAATTGTGATTTGTGTGTTTTGGTGTATCGTTCACCCCTAGTTTAGACCTGGGTTGGATTAGGAAGCTAAATATGTGTTTTAGTTATTTGAAGTGAAACATTTGACTAAGTCCACGATCTAAAAACCGAATGAGGCTGGATGATGTACATAGCCATTATTTTAATGCACAAAAACTAAACTATTGCAGATGTCCCCTTGTGCTTTGACTTGAGTTTAGTGTCTTGTAGCTTTCTATCTGTGTTTGGAGGGGTCTTATGTGATCTATAGCTGCCACTTTAACATTAATTATAGCTAAAAATATTAATTTTAGATAGTAAGTTGTGCTGAAATCATAAGAACAAAATTGTCGAAAGATTTAAAAACTCTGGAGACAAGGCCAACCAGCATTTTTAGTTCTCAAAGATGATGTGGGAGCGACAAAACACTAACCTTAAAGCAATTCTGAAACAACATGTCAGTGTGGATGTAGAGTAGAAACATCATATCTAATGCCATAAATATGTTCCACTTGTGTCTTTGCCCTATGGAAAGAGCCAGCATGGATTTGAATAAATACAAGGATTCCTTTTTTTCTTGGCCCTGTCACTGCAGCAGGTCTCTAGAAGGAGGGTATGTGGCAGTAGGCCTCCAGCGAAGCCAGGAGGATGTAGATGAGCCAGAGCGTGCCGAACAACAGCGATGTTACGATCTTACAAGTCCGAGGCCCGCCCAGCTCTCCACCTGCCACAGAGGGCCTGCGGCGGTACAGCAGCGTGCATACGCACACACACGCCATTATGGTGAACAGGGTCACGGAGAAGGCCAGGTTCCCCGGGTCCACACGGAAAGCCTTGCCCTTGGATCGCCAGGCAACAGCGGCAATGGTCCACGCCACGCCGATGCCCAGGAACACGTTGACCGCATTGGAGCCCGTCACATTCCCGATGGAGGCATCTGCGTACTGGTCCTGGATGGCTGCCACTTTACTGGCAAAAGTATCTGAAACACACATCAGGGTTAGGCCCATGCATGCATTGTGTGTGTGGTGGTCAGCTAACTGGGAGACAGATTGTCATGGTCTGATTCCAAAACGATTCAGTCTCTTGGACTTCATGTTGTTATCACATGAATGTGGCAAACGTTCAATGTTAATTTATGTTACACATTCATGTTTATGTGTAAACCTCATAGTTACTTGCTACTCCCCTCCTACCCCCTTCCTGGTCTGTTTGTGTGTCTGTGCTCTGGGTTTGCTCCACCTCTCTGTCTCTCCTCCACTCTGCTCTCCACAGCAGCAAATGCTCCTTTGTGCAGGGGCCTTTACACTATCAGAGAACAGGAGGCTGTTCTACACACGTGAAGTTCTTGATATTTTGGGGGATTGTCCTGATGATGTTGCCGGGCAAGTCCAGACTCATGTATCTCTGTGTCTTTTATACTGAGGGACATCAGTCTGGTCACCACACCCTGCTGTGTTGGGAGACAGATTCAGACAGCTGTATGACTGATACGGTGCACTTACACAAATGCTTGTTAATGTAAATTGTGCACATTAAAAATGTGCACTGTTCATGTGAAATGCAGCTGCACATTGATCAGCTATGTGTCATTTTGAAAAATTAGCCCTTATTTTTTGTTCTCTTAAGCAATCACATTTGTTTTGATATGAACAGACCATGCATGGCCCTGATTGGCTAATCCACTTGTCAGTCTTTTATCTTTTACCTTTCTGTGTCTTTACCTGCAGCATCCTCCCCACACAGAGCACACTGAGCCCCAGCAGAAACATGCCAGCTCCATCCTCTCATTACACTGTTTATTTATAATCCCCGCGCCTCCATCGCTCCAGCCTCTGTGTGTGTGTGACACACACACACGTACACACGCACACACGCACACACGCACGCACGCACGCACGCACGCACACACACACACACACACACACACACACACACGCTCCTAGACGCATACACAAGTCACATGCTCCCACTGCTAGCAGGCTACAGTTAAGGTGCATCTACTGTCTCACTGTCTCTGTAGGGAAATGTGTCCTGTCCTTTTGACCCATCCTTTTCCAGGGAAAACCTGCAGTGGAGCCACAGTGCAGTGCTCAGGGACCATAGACTGTATAAAGAAGTGGACTGAGGGAGTGTGACATTACCCAGAGTGTTCAGTTCTAGTCAACTGAAGATTGTGATGCTAGTGATTGTACAGGCAAATTTGCAGCCAAGCTCCACATTAAGAATAGAAATTTATTATTGCACTTGTTTTTGTCCATTGAGAATCTTTATCTCAAATGCAGATGATGTATCCAGCACCAGAAACGCTGCTTTCATCACAGATGGACAGAAAGGGGAGCACTGTGTTTTAGTGCTCAAACATACTTTGACAAACATGCACTCATACTGTGGGGTGAGCTCATCTCCCCACAGATCTGAACTTGGTCTGGTGGTGGGGGGTCACCTAGCCAGCCTGGCACCATCTCAGCTCAATTTCATTTCTCTCCAGCGACTAAGTCAGGAATCAGAACACACTAGACCATTTGCAAGAACCCCGGAAGTTGTAGACCGCACACCAGCCAATCAGAGAAGAGCTGTGAAGCCATGATGTCAAACTCGTCGCATCTGTCTGTGTCCCTTTTGTGGAACAGCACAACAGTAAACAAAGCGTTGAGATGGATGTAGACGAATACAGATATTCTGTGTTGGCAACGATTCCAGAGATCGTGGATTTAAAGCCTGAACAAAGAGAATGTTTGGTGAATTTTATCAGGGGAAAGACGTTATTGCCCTTCTTCCTATGGGATTTGGAGCATTACATACGTCATGACCAAATAGCAGTGATTGAAAGTCCCCACCAACCGTTGAGTGAACAAATCCTAATGCTGTGATGGCTCAAGAATCAAGCTAGGGGTCACCTGCTTGACTCCATAAGTTTGCCATCCTGTGTATCATTCCATCTCCAGAAAAGTGACACTGCACCTTCACTTACTTTACTTTGTTAAGCAGTGAACATAACGTGTTGGACCCACACACTGCACCAATGCACGTCATGAGTCCTGTTTTTACATGATCTCTTCTATACTGTGCACAGTGGGCTGTAGGTGGCACCAGCTAGACCTCATGAAGCAGAATACTCTCTCTCTGCACTGTATAACAAATGGTTCCTACGGCAACGGCATGATGGATGGAGCAATAGGGAGAACACGGGCCCAATCCAAAGCTTTCACTGGGAGGAATAATGAAACAGGCCAGCCACAGCAGCTGCACAAACACCATTTAGAAAAGACTCTGTTGTCAATGAGCTGCTGTAAACGGTCTTCTGTATCCACTCACTACAACTGATAACTCAGAATTAGGAACGTAATACAGGGTTGCACATAACTAAAATTTTGAAAAAAAAAAATTTTTTATTTTATTTAGTATGCTGAATTAACCGATTACCCTAAATATCTGTAAGGAGAGACCATGTATTTAAATCGATTTAAAATCTAGTACCTAGCACCTTATAACTCATAACTGGTATTCATATCCATGGCTTTTTGGCACACACAGTTTTAGAAGTTTGAGCCTGTTTTTAAATCATCAACAGAGAATAGATTCATGATTTAATGTTGTATTAGGAGGCACATTTTCAACGCACTGCACTGTGCTCTATATTGTGGTCTTGAGCTCACCACTAGACACTACTTTTCAAGGTACATTGGGGGAAATGTATTACTAGTGGTGTGGACTTTTGGACACAGCCTCTGTTAATCAGAAGTGAGAGAAATTTTATTTAGTTTTAAATGATTGATGACAATGAGTTCTTTCCTTTCACATTAAATAAACAAATCTGGTTGGACAGTTCTCGGGTCAAGGTGTGATGTGGTAGTGGAGACCACACTGATATCCCTCTGTATCAAATATCCAGAGAGTCCAGTGTGGACTTGCAACAATGTCGTGTCCTTCTCACCTGGAACAGAGGTGCCCAGAGCCACGAACACCACGGCGGTCACAGAGTCCTTGAGGCCAATGGTGCAGCCGAAGTGTGAAGCCAGGTCTCCGGTGACAGCCGTGAGCACGCCGATGAGGGAAATGGACACGATGAAGCAAGCCCAGCCGTTCCAGTACTCTGTGGGAGGCACGAAGGCAAACAGCACCTTCCAGAATACTGTCAGGAAGTGCATGATGTAGTCAAAGCAGGAGGGCAGGCGCTCCTCCCCGCTCTCCTCCTCATCATCGTCACCTGGAGGGGACAGGGGGGAAAGGTCAAGAACAGACAGGGATGGACAGGGACAGATATGGGCACAGAGGAGGGCAGGGGACAAGGACAGATGGACAGAAAAGGGAGACAGGGACAGATGGCAGGACAAGGATAGATAAGGATGGACAGGCACAGACAGGGACAGACAGGGAAGGACAGAGACAGGGGTAGACAGGGAGGACAGGCAAGGACAGAGACAGGGGTAGACAGGGAGGACAGGGAGGGACAGAGACAGGGGTAGACAGGGAGGACAGGGAAGGACAGAGACAGGGGTAGACAGGGAGGACAGGGAGGGACAGAGACAGGGGTAGACAGGGAGGACAGGGAGGGACAGAGACAGGGGTAGACAGAAAGAGACAGAAAGTGGAACAGATAGGAGGGACAGGTGGAAGAGAGGGACAGAGGGTGCAGGGATAGACAGGGGGACAGGTAGAGGGGAGGAACAGGCTTTAACGAGGCCTTACAGAGAGCTGCACAGGCTAATCCTTGTGCTAGGCTCTATTGATTCTAAATCTAGCCTGAGATGTGCAGCCTCCTCCTGGCTGGCTTAAGGCCAGAGACAGTGAAGGATTTCAGGTTTAATGCAGTTTTTTAACCTCAAGACTCTAAAACCTGCTCCCACATTTCCCTCATACTAAACTTCAGAGCTGGAGGCTAATACCGTGTGTTATGATCAGACCTCTTTATTTATCATACCTTGACAGTTAAGGAGAAGATAACTGAAGAATTATAACTCCAAGTATGTTTTTTGTAAAGCTCAGACAGTATAGGACAGTGGTGTACTATTGCTGTTCAAGAGTTTAATTTAGACTCAGTTCTGTACACTTTGTTGTCCTCCTGTGGGACGTTTCTTGCTTAAAATTGCAGTAGCAATGGTTTAGTCATATTTCAGACCTGGTCTTGTAGACAGGTTTTAGAACTAGTATCTTAGAAGTACTTGGTTTGAAAAGTTTGAGAACCACTGTAATATTGGACATAAAATTGAGGCCATTTTTATAGGTCTAACTGCTTGGGTTGCTGCTTGAGTATATTGTTTGATTCTGTTATATTATATGTTCTGTTCTGTTATATGTTATATGCTCATTAAATATACAGAATGACACAGTGGATGTAAACTTAAAGTTTACTCACTTATGTGACTGAAGAGGTCTTACCTGCACTGACAGTCACTGCACTGACAAACTGCTCTCTCCAGCTGCTGCTCCCCACCACCAGCGCCAGGTTAGTCTTCTTTATCAGCTTATCCACAGTACTCTACACACACACACACACACACACACAGGCCACAACACAAAATACACACACGTATGCACATAAACACACACAATCAGACAGGACAGATTAATTTTGTTCACTCCACTCTGAGAGAAAACACTGATTCAGGCTGTGTAATTATCCACTTATTCCAATGAGAGAATTTTCAAATCAGCCTCAGAATTCAAAGAGCATTCATTAAAGGTGCGTGCTGCTGTGATGAAACCCGAGGAAAGACCCCACGCTGAGGACGAGGGAGCTGAGTTTGGGGAGTGAGGGATAGAGACACTACAGGCAGGTTTAGTTTTTGGGTCACATTCTTGTGTAAATACAAAAGTCCAAATTACACCTCATTCATCAACTCCCATGTTTGTAGTAATCAAGTAGTAAGCTTTTTTTTTTTTTTTTACTGTATTTTAAAGCTTAGTTGTTTTTTCCCCCCAGATGAATCATTTCTCATCTTCATTTTAAAAAAGGTTAAACTGACCTTGTATGTTCTTTCAGTATTATTCAAAGGTGACTCAAAAAAAATTGAGTCAGCTATTGTTGTTCTGATATCTTTTTTTTGATCTGATCTGATACTTGGCCTTAGTGTACTCACAGATACCAAACCAATACTACATAATGTGAAGAAGTAGACTAAGACCACTCAATATCTTTACTGTAAGAGATCAAAGGTAAATCTACTTAAAGGCATATTATATCTAAACAGAATCCACAAGAATGGATGAGATTTTGAGGACAAGTGTTAGAGTCAAAAGTATAATGGTCTTGATGATAAGTAGTGCTGAGTGCTAAGCACTTTCTAGCACAGCGCAAATAAAAACAGCAATGAGGCCTGTAAAGAGACACTCATCCTCGGAGCACATGGCTCATTCTGCAGAGTAAACAAAGTGTGTATTAGCGCTCATGTCCAGTTGCACTCTCCATAGTGCATTTTTTGACCAAGTTCAGCGTCCACTCTAAAGGTTAAATGAAGATATCAGAGAGGTAACACAAATGTCTGTTACTATTTGTTGATTTTGTGTTGTTTTAAGTGTCTGCAGAGTCTCCACAGTCTGCATATAAACTCTCTGGAGGTTACCAGTGGCATTAGCCATGGACATCAGCACATGCTCACATCTATGGGTTCTCATTCAGGAAAATACACAGTGGAAGATTTGTGATTATTTTTGAAGTACTAGCCAATATTGTACCCGAAAAGATTTGCAGCATTGGAGCTTTTGCCAATACCAGTATCAGTATCAGAACTTGGGGCTGGATTCATGGCTGCTCACCTGCAATGTCTCATTAAGCTCATACAAAGGTTTGAGAGAATAATAGGAGATCAAATTAAAGAGCAGAGCATGCAGAAGAGGAGGGAGGGAAACGGAGGGATCGATCACCTGTTTGGAACGCCACACCAGCTCATCTACTGCTCTCTGCACACGCACACACACGAGGGATGGGAGAGCAAATCAGTCAATGAAATGAACTATGAACAAACAAGGCTCAGATGTAATCAGGACACAAATGATAAACAAAAGGTAAGTGGAATGCACAGCCAAAATCAAAATAAATAGGCTTCAATGGAGGTTACACTGTGTCTTTTTTCTGGTACTTTTTATGCGCATCATTTTTGGCTTCTACATTTCTTCTACATACAGTTCTGGTTTAGTGACGCAGCCCGTGCGACGTACAGGACGGGGGACGGTCTGCGCGGCGTACGCGTTAGTTTGCGGGACTGCCCACAATGAGTTTTCAATATGTCCCATGCAGCACTGTTTTCCGTCAGGTCCCGCGCAGGACTCTAAGTGGAGGGTCCACCACATGCTTTCCTCCACTGAGATGTTATTGGTTTGTCTGGAATGTTTACACAGTATTAAAGCTTTTTATCATCATAATTATGAGAATGCCTGTTTTTCTAGGTATTTTTTGAGTTCGAAAACCATCTGTAATTTAATAAATATAAGGCAGAACTATTTATTATTATACTGTGGAACATTCCAGGCAGATCAATGACATCTCCACAGAAACAGGCAGGTGACGGGCCCTCCACCAGAAAAGTTACACAGTGCACATTTGAACCCATTTCTTGGGTGGGTCGGGTTGGTTTTTATCTTGGGTGAGGTGGGGCAAGTCAAAAAAAAAAAAGCTCTCCTACATATCCTTTGTAGGTACTGTTACTTCAATAAAAATATTACTCAAGTAGTAAGTAGTAAGTAAAATATTCAGAAAAATACTCAGAAAAGTAACATGTTTTAAAAAGTACTTAAAAGTACTTAAAAGTTACATAAATAAATGTAACTGAACACTGCCCACCTTTTAAGTTTGTCTGGTGCCTATATTTCATATTCCACTTTCTCTAAAATGACTTTGTTAGATCTGTCGCTCTATTAATATGTATAACCATCCCATAACAAAACCAATCAGGGGAAAAATCAAACCCAGGATGTTGTTTCAAAATCATTCTGACCTTTTTACTGCACTCACAAAGAATAATAATAATATTCTCTAGGTGATTATTCACAGTCGGGGACAGCTGGCAATTTTGGATTGTAGTGGATTTCATTAAAATTTCAATCACTGACTCTTCTCAGAATATTTCATCATAACCACAGTGAGGGGGGTGTCTGCAGGCTAGTTATTTGGGTCTGATTGTGTGGGTCTGGTTGTGTGGGTCTGGTTGCATGGGTCTGGTTGCGTGGCTCTGGTTGCGTGGCTCTGGTTGCGTGGCTCTGGTTGCGTGGCTCTGGTTGCGTGGCTCTGGTTGTGTGGCTCTGGTTGTGTAGTGTAGACTGGTTGCGTGGGTCTGGTTGCGCAGGTCTGGTTGCGTGGGTCTGGTTGCGTGGGTCTGGTTGTGTGGGTCTGATTGCGTGGGTCTGGTTGTGTGGGTCTGGTTGTGTGGGTCTGATTGTGTGGGTCTGGTTGTGTGGGTCTGGTTGTGTGGGTCTCGTTGTGTGGGTCTGATTGTGTAGTGTAGGCTGGTTGTGTGGATCTGGTTGTGTAGTGTAGTGTGGTTGTGTGGCTCTGGTTGTGTGGATCTGGTTGTGTAGTGTAGTGTGGTTGTGTGGCTCTGGTTGTGTGGGTCTGGTTGTGTAATGTAGACTGGTTGTGCGGGTCTGGTTGAGTGGGTCTGGTTGTGTGGCTCTGGTGTGTTTGGCTCTGGTTGTGTAGTGTAGATTGGTTGTGTGGGTCTGGTTGTGCGGGTCTGGTTGCGTGGGTCTGGTTGCGCAGGGCTGGTTGCGTGGGTCTGATTGTGTGGGTCTGATTGTGTAGTGTAGACTGGTTGTGTAGTGTAGACTGGTTGTGTGGATCTGATTGTGTAGTGTAGTCTGGTTGTGTGGGTCTGGTTGTGTGGGTCTGATTGTGTAGTGTAGTCTGGTTGTGTGGGTCTGGTTGTGTGGGTCTGGTTGTGTGGGTCTGGTTGCGTGGGTCTGGTTGCGTGGGTCTGGTTGAGTGGGTCTGGTTGTGTGGCTCTGGTGTGTTTGGCTCTGGTTGTGTAGTGTAGACTGGTTGCGCGAGGCTGGTTGTGTGGGTCTGGTTGTGCGGGTCTGGTTGCGTGGGTCTGATTGTGTGGGTCTGATTGTGTAGTGTAGACTGGTTGTGTGGGTCTGGTTGTGTGGGTCTGGTTGTGTAGAGTAGACTGGTTGCGTGGGTCTGGTTGTGTGGGTCTGGTTGTGTAGTGTAGACTGGTTGCGTGGGTCTGGTTGTGTGGCTCTAGTTGTGTGGGTCTGGTTGCATGGGTCTGGTTGTGTGGCTCTGGTTGTGTAGGTCTGGTTGTGTAGTGTAGACTGGTTGTGCAGGTCTGGTTGCGGGTCTGGTTGTGTGGGTCTGGTTGCGTGGGTCTGGTTGTGTGGCTCTGGTGTGTTTGGCTCTGGTTGTGTAGTGTAGACTGGTTGTGTAGTGTAGACTGGTTGTGTGGCTCTGGTTGTGTAGTGTAAACTGGTTGTGTGGGTCTGGTTGCGCGGGTCTGGGTGTGTAGCACCATAGTAACAGACCTTGAACTCATAGGACTCCTCGATGACCACCTCCAGCGTGGTGTGCTCCCCCAGACTGGGGCAGCCCATCTTGGCCACCTCCTCCTCCTCTGCCCCCACTGGAGGCTTGTTCTCGTTTGAGTCACCTGCAAAAGCACACACACACACACACACACACAGACACACACACACAGACACACAAACACACAGACACACACACACACACACACACACACACAGTTAGTTGTATGTTGTATGTTTGGTTCCTCTCTTGGTTTCTCTAAATAACGTGACTTTTCTGTAGCCTATAGAGCACCAATCCTCTGCTTGTCTCCAAGGAGATGTTGCTTTGCCTGGAATGTTCCACAACAGGGCCTTAAACATATTCATCTCCATCAATACAAGTAGACCACTAAGTCAAGTAACAGGTCAGATCTGTGGTGAGGAGAGCCTGCCCACAGTAAGAATGCATGTTTTCTAGATATTCCCTAAGCAGTCAAAACACCTTAAGTCAATAAACACAGCATTCACACTACCAGTCAATGTTTGGACACACACTCTCATTCAGTGTAGTTTTCTTTAGGTTTATCATTTATATCCAGAATGAAGACATCAAATACAGCATAGGTCAAAGATATATGGAATTATGAAGGAGAGAAAAAAAGTTAAATGAGTCAACTACATATTTCTTTTATTTCTATTCACATTCTCAAAGTATCCATCCTTTGTTTTCTCGACAGTGCTGCAAACCCTGGACCTTCTCACAAAAACCTTCTTGATGAATTCTCATAAAACAGTTTTCACTTCACATATGTGCTGCATCAGGCTCAAGAAATATCAAAGGGTAAAGGATATTTTTAAAACCTAAAATCTAAAAGAAGTTCTGATTTTAGTTTTTGTTTACTTCATTACCAATACCTTCAGCCTTCAGTGAGAATCTACAGTGTAAATAATCATGGAAATAAAATAAATAAATAAAAAGTCTGTCCAAACTTTTGACTGTTTGTCTATTTAAACATGTTGTAACATTATCGGCAAGAAGACCACACGCACACACACACACTCCACACCCCCATAGTAGAGCAGTCAGCTCTTATCTGCTGCCTCTAATTGAAAAGCCATGTACAGCGTGTGATCCGATCCAAATGTCAGTCCGCTCACAACGCAGCGCTGTTCTAAAACCAATTATACGTGTTCAGTGCAGCAACATGCCCCGGGCGGCTGCCTCTGCACACATCATTGTGAGTAACACTATTAGATCCATGACAATATATGCAAATAATTCACACTGTGTCACACTGAACAAGCTCTCGTCTTACATAATCAAAGTAGACTGGCTGGTGAGACTCGGGAGATGTGGTCAGGCTTCCTTACACTGGGTTCACATAAAATCACAGCATTCAAAACTGCCCCTAAAGTGTACATGACAGGTTTGATGTTTTTCTAGGAATGACTTGGTTTGGTGGGAGAGTAGTGGTGATAAATATTTATTATAGTTTTACATCAGTCAAGTGGCAGTCAAGAAAAGTTGGGGAAAAAGTCACAAATTAGAGGAAGTAGGAAAAAGGAACCTTTCAAGCTAGATACACAAAATTGCATCCAAAAAGCAAATTACGCTCAAGAAACACATTTTTCTGAAAAATATAATTAACAGAAATGTGGTTGTGGTCCTTGGAATTATCTTCCCTTGTCCAAAAGGTATGCCACCGAAATTGTCACAAGCATATCAAAAGTATCAAATACTTTAAGAGAAATGAGTAGTCTAACCTGTTTTATGTACGTACTTCAAGATAAAATATATATATAAAAAAACAACAATCTGAAATTCAATGTATGATTATCAAAAGTATAAAAAATCTGATACTAGAAATACTAATTTGAGCACATATCAATAAAAAAGTCACTTTCACAGGAGGGAAATGAACCTTTCCTGAATAGCTTTAGAATGACCAGTGTATGCCCATGGACCACTACCAGGATGATGAGGGATTATGCAGATAGAAGGCTACATGATAATATAAAAGAAAGAACAACGATGTAATGCTGAAAATCACATTCTATTGTTTAAAGAAAATGTGTCTATTCCTTCTAGTTTACTGCCTGGAGTTTATTATGGTGGCAGTATTTAATCAACAACATGACCGTGGTTGTCTGAAAGGATTTATAAGGCATTCATATGATAAATGTGTGCAAATTGTGTCTTAATAATGTTAACAACAAATAACTATGTTTGATTTTATTTGCATCTGAACAGCAAATGCCGTTGGGAATAATATCTCCATTGTCCCCTCATCATCCAAACATCGAGCTGAATATTGAGTCTTTAGAATATGAAAATGATTTGGTCTATCTTGTCCTTTTTGTCACCAGTCTTTTGGAGTCAGAGTGGTTACACATAATTCCGAAGGCTGCTTGAATGATACAAAGGCTGTTGCAATGAAGGTTCTTAATGAAAGCACTTTTATTTCAACTGTTTTCCTTTCAAACCATGAATCCATTTATCTTAACAGAATTCAAACATCAGCACCAGCATAAGGAAAACTGGCTTGGTTTTGGAAGAGAGTAGGTGAGTTTTTGTGATTTGAAAATTGGATAACTGGATTTAAAAGGTAGAAGTAGCTAGTTTAAAATAAATCTTGACCTTGAGTCTGAAGGTTGTGCTTCCGACAAAAACTGCATGTGCACAACTTTAGAACAGTTTTGTCACTAGGGGGGTGCAAACATATGGAAATCTTGGTATATACTGCTATTAAATTTCGTGATATATTATTATTATTATTATCATTATTAGTAGTAGTAGTAGTAGTAGTAGTAGTAGTAGTAGTGGTATTAGTATTAGTATTAGTATTATTTTATTTTATCTTGTCTATACAATACATTTAACACATTCAGTGTTTTGGTGATTAAAAAGGATTTATTTCATATACTCTTTGTTTAGGTAGTGGTTTAATAAAAAAAATAAAATAAATGCTGTTAGATGTATTTTTGTATTTCAAAACAGAGCCAGCTGAAGGGAGGGCATCTGTCCCGGATCCTGAAGCGTTCATATCCCATCAGGAGGAGGCCCCGGGGAAGACCCAAGACACGGTGGAGGAACCCTGTCTCTGGGCTGGCCTGAGAATGCCTCGAGATCCCCCCAGAAGAGCTGGACAAGTGTGTGTGGAAAGAGAAGTCTGGCCCTCCCTGCTCAGACTGCTGCCTCCATGACTCAGATAAATCAGAAGAAACTGGATGGATGGATTTTATGTGTAATCAGTGGTCAGTGATATCAGTTATCGTCTGTGCTGCTGTGAGTCTTGCTTCCTAATTGATTATCAATATAATGCTTTATAATAAGAAAATGTACGGTTCAACAAACCACCTCCACCAGCTCTGCTCAGGCCCACACTGCTCCACTCACCGTGCTTCTGTCCGATCTCGAGCAGGATGGGCTCCCCCAGCTCAATGGTGAATGTCTTGTTCTTCTCATACTCCTCATCATCGATGATCTTCACCTCGATCACCTTCCTGTAAACACACACATGTCCCACTTTTACCTTCTGTCAATACAAACCAAAGAAACATTGGGCATGCTACATCTCATGTAGATAAGTCTCTCTGCTATCCCACATGAGGCGGCACACTCAATTTATTTTTGTGAAATACAATGATGAAGATGTTTTGACTAGCCAGACTGGTTCTTTCTCTCTATTCTATACAGCAGATATCTTAATGTTTAATAAGCAGCCTTGTTTTAATGCAGACAAACCAGGCATAATCAACTACACCCCTCTTCATCAATGGAAATAAAACTGGTATCCACACTACAGGTGTTTGGAAGTATTGGAGAAGTGTGTAGTCTTGGCTCCAGAGGAGGTGCTTCTACTGTGCAATGTATCGTTGTTGAAGCTATGCCAACATCCACAAGTTGATAAATGTGACGGGTAAATAAGTAAATGCTTCTAAGTGAGAAACAGAAAGCAGAGAGTGCATGATGAGGCCAGCACACACTCACCACTCACACTGATGAGACACTTAAAGCCACACTCCAGAACTGCACACACCGGGAAGAGCTCTCCAGACCAGCACACACTGGAAAGAGCTCTCAAAGCACCACCACAGGAACAATCAGCCGTCTCTTTACTGGCTAAAGTGCGCACGCTCAACATACACACTCCCCACATGCCAACATGCACATTCCCCAAACGCGAACGTGCACATTCTGCACCTTTTATGTTTCACAAAGTCATCAAGAACCTTACTATATGCTCCACTCCGAGCGCCAGTCACAAAAACTGCCATTGTGTCCTTAGGCAAGGCACTTCAACCACATTGTCTAGTATGAAAGTGGTGTGTGTGTGAATGATGGTGGTGGTCGGAGGGGCTGATGGTGCAGATTGGCAGCCTCACTTCAGTCAGTCTGCCCCAGGGCAGCTGTGACTACAATAGTAGTTTACCACCATTAGGTGGTAAATTAATGATAATGAATTAATATTAATGAATTGTAAAGCATATGTTTGTGAAAAATGCTATATAAATTACCGCTGGGTGATATGGATCAAAAATATATATCTGGATATATTTAGCTATATCGCGATATACGATATCTATCTCGATACGTGTACAGGAAAAATAACCCCCTAAAACTCCTGCAAAAACAAATATGCCAAATTCCACAATGTCCTTTTTTATTGAAGTGCAAGAGGTCGGCAGTTCATGTAGGAACAAAGTGCTTCTGCTAAATTTAAGATCACAAAAAAATCCTTGATTACATAAATAATAAATTAACTGTAAAACAAAAGAAATAATACATATTTCCTTCTTTTCACTCATGAATAAAACAACTCAACTCAAGCTCATCTTTGCATTAACTCTGTAACCGTACGATAACCATGAGCTCCTTTAGCAGAGGAAGCTCAGGAGGTTCATTATTTTAACATTTTATCCATGTTCCTCACCAGTGTAAAAAGCTCTGAGGTTTACCACAATCCACTGCAGATCAAACCCAACGTTTCCAAACACTATTGTTACACTGAAGCAGATTATTCATTCAAATCTTCTGCATAGGTAAATTTGACATTACAAAACTTTACAACATCTAAAGCATAACAACTCTAGAGCCACATCAGCCTGTTTGACATTATAATGTGTTTAATTCAGTTTTGCGCACGTGTTTATGTTTTACAGAAACAAAACTTCTGAAACACTCCTTGTGCCGCTAATGCGGTTCAGCTTCTTTTGGACTAAAGGACACAACTCAGTGTTCATATGAGTGTTCTCTCTCTGACAGAGGATGTGCTGCTGATGGTCTTGTCTGTAAATGGTGGAACAGGTTTGTGGTGCTAGAAGCTTTTCACTGGCACCAACTTTTGGCTTTCAAGGTGGTAGTGAGGAGACACAAGCTGCAAAATCAAAGAGGCAGGGGTGCACGCAGGCGAGGAAAGAGAAGACAAACAAGCGAAGCGGCGAAATCAGAGTTGAATATAAGCATTATATCGATATATACGATATGTCAGAATCCAGATCAAGTTTTAAAATATCTCGATATATTTAAAATATTGAGATATCGCCCACCCCTAATATAAATAAAAAACTTACTGGGGAAGATTCCATACAGGGCAATCTCAATGAGACAAGACTATAGCCTCCAGAAAAGTGACATAGGGCAGATTTAACAAGAACAGTCACAGCACGTCTAAATGATGAGTGAGAGAGTGTCATCTCTGAGGGGGTTCTCTCCTGAGCTTTCATGATGAGCTGAGGCTGAGCTTTTCCTGATGTTGAAGTAACTTTAACAAACTACACCTCTCTTTGACTGTTTGTTTTCCACTCTTTCTCCTGGTTTGATGTGTCTGTGTGTTTCTAGCTTGTTACTCCTTGACACCTGCTACCCTGAAGCGCTCTCTGTCAGGGCTCTCTGGGGTGGCCCGGCCTGTCAGGGGCTGATACGCTCCACACAAATCCAACTCAGCTCCTGCATAAAAATAGATATTCCATAGTCTTCCAACCATGCGCTGGGATTGAAGAGCTGGGCAGGAATCGGCTTTAGGAGCATGTTGTTTCAAATTCCCCCATGACTGAGCGACAGTTTGATTTGATTAGCTTGGAGCTTATTGCATTACTGTAATGGACAAATCCACTTTCATATCAGCCACTGCATCGCCTGCCTTTGCCGGTTGGCTCAGAGGACACTGATTTACAAGCGCTGGATGCCAGTGTGTGGTTAGCAGTAATAAAGTGGGCACCATTCTGGAGTTTTGTCAGAGACTTAGCACAAACTCTCATTTTGTTGAGTGAGGCAGATTTACGGTCCACTTTTAGCACCAGGGATAAGTCCACGTTGGTGCTTGTATCAACACACATACACTGTCAGAGCGTCACACAGGGGCTTACAGTGGGAGAAACCTTAACTAAAGACAAGACAACTCCAGCTACTGATGTAACTGAAGAAGCCAAACTGGAAAGCTGAATTATCTGTGAAGCAGCTACTGGCTTAAGTTATTATGCTGACCAGTCAATTATTGTGAAGAATAAGAGTCAACTGGAGCTGTAATATAAATCAGTTTTACAGCTGTTTTCAGTAAACTCAATATCTGATCTTACTTCTTATCTGCTCTTGAGGACACCAACAGAGCATTACAGGAATGTTCCACAGTACAGCATTAAACTTTTTTTTAATCTTGCAGCTTTATATACAGCTGTGCCGGACTGACTCAGTTATCGTTACTACTTCTGCTCCAATTATGTAGTGACACTAAAATAAATATTTAAAGATCATGCTACATACAGTGAGTTATGGATGTACAACTGATATAAAGCACTAACCCATGAAATTGACTAGTTACACAAGAGAATTTTTAGTTTGCTTAATGTGATAAGCGTGTACCAGAACCCCATGTTTTTCCACAGATTGTTTTACTTTTAACATTATTTCAGTTAATGCCTCTTTTTAGTCCTCGAAGTTTTATGAATGATGCTGTAACCTTATAACTGTCTTGTCTGCTTGAAGGATAAAGTTAAAATCATTTTTTTTTTAGCTTTTAATTCTGTTATAATTATTGTGAGGAGTGCTTTAAGAGGTTTTAGATGTCATACATGCATGTTTCAATAATTTTGAGATCTCTTACGGTTAGTTGTAAGATTCTGTCCAATGCTCCACCCCCAAGCCTATATCACCCATGCACCCACAAAACATTTCCACATCAATATACAAAATCCAAACACAAAAATGTGCACTACAACTTCACAAACCTATTTCAATTCTTTCTCAAAAAAATAAAAGGAAACCAGAAGTACCTTTTTCAAATTCTATCCTCTGTGTTGCCTATCAAGGTGAAAAGTGTTTTAGAATACTTCACCGGTCAGTGCTGTTGAATTCACAATTGTAATATCAATCATTTATAGTCCGGCAAACATTTGAACAGTCCTGTCAGACTCATTGTGTGAAGGCTTTCTGTGGCTCAATAATAAGTGGGTTCAGCTGAAAGGCCAGAACGCACACACCTTCTCATTTCTGACCAGTGACCCTGATTATGGTCATCGCTGTTTTCACATTAAAATGCAGTGCTAACCAATTACTAGCACAACAATATGCTTCCCTGTACCCTTCCCATGCACTAGAATAAACCAGGTAAATCTGGAAATTAAGCCCAGGACTAAACCAGGACCATGCCAAGACTGCAACATGTCTACACCAAGGCAAAACTGGGTCTAAATCAGGTCAAAACCAAGATTTATAAGACAAAACTACACCTAAGGACTCCTCTTGCCGTTTCTGTTTCAGGAAACGTTTGAAACTGTGACGAAGGGACTCTTCCTAGAATATGTATGGTTGCCATGGAAACCAGCAGCACGTGAAATCCTAGATCATGTACAAGTACATGTATTGTAAAATATATGCGAGAAAGAGAGGGGAGAGAGAAAGGGCTCGGGGGGAGAAGAGCGGTTGAGCAGAAAAGGGGTTTTGGGTGATTTAGGACGACAGAGCGACTGACAAACACATTGCAGCGAGACCTGAGTTTGGACAGGATATGTTTTTAGATTATTTAGATAATGTAGCTTGTAAACTTTTGAAATTGATGGGTCAATATTCTTGCATTGATTCATAAAGCTCCTGTATGCTGCAGTGAGAAGTTCAAGCTAATCATTCAGGCCTGGTGAGTGTATTCTAGGGTTGCTGTCAAGTGTGTTGAAAATCAGATTCTAATTCATATTAAAACAAGTATCAAAACTCAATACTCATTTGAGCAGGTATCAATACTAAAAAAAAGTCCCATTCACGGGACAGAAATGAACCTTTCCTGAATTTTTTACAATGATGTTGAGCTGTGTAAGTGTCAGAGCACACAGACACCCATGGACCAACATGAACCTACTGCACCACTGACCATTACACACATGTTTACAGTCTGTACTTGCACATATGCAGAAAGTGATGATGAAAGTGATCAAATCTTTTGACATGTCATCTCCCAAACACAGCACAGGGTGGCACTGTCTCATTGGTTAGAGTGAAATACAGTGAGCAG